CTTCAGAGTTCATCTTGACGCACAATCCTCAGTTCATCCGGTTAACTAATTGACTCAAATTTCGCTTTTGTTAGTGCTGAATGTCTGCCGTCTTCAATGACAGTCGGTCGGTTCTAGGAAGAAAACTTCTGGACCGTTTAGGTGAATGGGATTGGACAGGTCTTTGCCATTACCTATTATTGACAGAATTCAGATTTTTCTTGAAGGAAGAGGCTTGTGTTCCAGATCATATTTGTATTCTGTAAACCTTTATTTTTTGTGTCGCCAATCGATTTTTAACAATAATGCTTCATTGTTGTTACATTTGATCATTCTATCACATATCCAATGGATTGCTTATTGTTAACTCTACTTGTTCCGCGTGACTTGTTCATTTCCATCAGTGCTTGAATTTTCCCACCAACGTGTCTATTGTACATAGGTATCAACGATCCACTCTATCTTCTTACAACACTTTTCGTAAGTTAGTGACTTTGATATTGTTGAAAGTGCTCTCTGTGTTGACCAATCGCAATTAGTTGTCCGGGAACCGACTGCAGATAGACCGGTGTTGCTTCTTCCCGGAGTGATGCTTGGTGAAACCTGCAGTAACAATGGCTAATCGCTTGTTTCATGGCTTTCACCTTTTTTCTCTCGTTTTATTGCTCTTCGAAGTTTACACATGTAGGTCGAGTTCCATGCACATTTACATGCTTTCTGCATCTGCCGGTTCACGATGCGGTTATTTAACGGAGAGCGTTTTTTTTGAAGCCGCTTGTGTTGATCATCTGTTCATGGGGTCACTTGAACAAAGTTATCTATCCCTGCTTTATTTTTCTATCTATCTGTCGGGTGATTTATGTTATGCCTTTGTTGCGGTTAAAAGTTCCAATGTTCCAGTGTATGATTGAACCGTTTTGTCCTTATCGTCCGTAGGCTTCGCTTTCTGGCCTCGAGGAGTGCATTGATCCAAAGGACCGAACACCCGCATTCAACGATATTGTATTTTCCGCCTCCGGGAACCGTCTGCGTGGTATGTCTCGCTTCACACCCGTTAACATCTGCTTTAAGGCTACTCTTTCTACTCGGAATTACCTGCCAACACAGCCCAACTGGACGGGTTTTACTATTGCAAATTCCGTAACAAACGCGGTGATTTGATTTCCAATTATGTTCAAATTCAAAATGTCTATTACTATCAAAAAAGTAAGTGTTGAAGTTGTCCATCTATTTACATTAAACACTTACACAATGTTTTCTCATAACTAGCTGTTTTAGTTTCAGTTTATAAAACCCATTACTGGTGATGGTGGCCTGGCGTCATTGGCAAGTATTGAATGGGTTAGAGAAAACCTTTAATCTCTAATCATTGATAGAAATAAATATAAGAGAGTGGGCGAAGTATAGAATCTTGGGGAAACATCGACGTTCACAGGGAACGGTCGAGGTAGCTCAGTTCAGGTGATCGGGGCACAGTTGGTTTAGTCGCTGTTCCCGGCGTGGCTTTGAATCCTGTGATCCGAGGTTCAAGTTCCGTCACCTAACTCTCGTGG